TTTATACACCTGGGTGGAGAGAGGCGCTGTGAGAGTTAAGTGTCTTGCCCAAGAACACAACACAAAGTCCCCGGCCAGGGCTCGAACCCGGACCGCTCAGTCCGTAGTCGAGCACGCTAACCATGAGGCCACCGCTCCACCCTCGTCCACAACAAAGAAAACTTGACATAACACAAACAAAGAAAACAAATATCTCGTTCTCTTTAGCCTAACAGGGAGTCACACATATGGATAGCTGTCAACTTGTGACTCAGCCAATCATAGGCCGGAAGCCAAGCCACGTGGACTCACCTCATAGTTACCCCAATCCCAGTAAGGTCTTTCAGCAAATGACATGATCTCCCACAAGAGCACTCCATAGCTCCACACATCACTCGCTGCAGTAAATTTACGATAATCAATCGCCTCTGGCGCCGTCCATCTCACAGGAATCTTACCTCCCTAAAGGAAAACAACAACAACAACAAAAAAGAAGTTAGAAAACAATGTAACTACTCGATGGTGTATATTATTTTTAAAGGGTAAAGGGCGAGAGAATGATGAGGTGGCGAACACTGGGCCTGAGGTAACGTAAAAGAGAAAAAAAACCCTTTGCTTGCCGTCACAAAAGGGACAGTCACTGCGTCGAATGTTGCGTGACAACACGGGGGTATAGGTAATCGAATGAATATGGGTGCAAATACGGAACTAACACTGAGAGTGATATTTGAGCCTTTAGGCGAATACAATTTGAAAGAATTTTCAAATATCACGAGTAGTGTAAACCCTCAATCGCTCGAGCTTTCGTATGCATTTCAGTTATTGTAGGACTGAGTAAATAAACGCGCATTAATTTGCACTGCAGTACAAATTAAAAATTAACCATAAATTGGCCTACACTCAACCAATCACGACGAATTTATTATCTCAGTAATATAATGAACACGATACACTGTACATCGATTAGGCAATTTGCATGATGGCATCATTTGACTACAACTACCAGAATCCTTCACTCTTTCTGTTTGTCAAGCCAATTAGGGCAATTGTTATTTAAACCCTACTGGGACTTTAAAATTTAAATAATAAAGAAAAGACGAAAGGAATTGTGGTAGTTGTAGTCAAATGACGGCAACGTGCAAATCTGCTATTCGAAACATTCGTGTGAAAACTCAAGAGAGTGCAACAGATTCGTGTAACAACGTCGCACTTGCATACAATTCATAACGAGGTCGTAAGGAAAACGATTACCGGTTTTGGCAAATCTTAAGGAATTTCCGATTGTCGTTGCTAGCCTACGAGCAAGCTTACGTTGGAGCACAATCGTACCCGGCGTAGCCGCGAGCGCGAAATTCGAGCGCCTCTTCATCAGACTCCTTCCCGCCGGATCGCTTTGCTCTTCGCCGCTTGCGCATGTCACTCAAAGGTGAATCTCCTCGCTGGCTAATTATTGACCAATCGGGCCGTTAAACGAACACCCGTCAGCAGACAGATGTCCAACATTAGCTTGTTGCTATAACAACGCGTTACATTGCTTCCAACTGTTGTAGTGTATACATGTAACCCGAGGGCTTAGTCATTAAACCTTCTGAATCTGTGGGATTTCACTTACCGATGTTTCATAAGCAGAGTCCTCTAGTTCTCTGGACAGGCCGAAATCTGCGACTTTACAAACCATGTTTTCTGACACCAATATATTACGAGCAGCCAGATCCTGAAAGAAAAGGAAAAAATGAAAGAAAACACGGTTAGTCAGACTGACGGCAGCTTCCTCTGGGCGGACAAAGCTATTTAAAACTATGAGTGTGATCAAAATCTCATTTCACCTAATACAGTCTAGCACATGTGTGATAAGAATAACGAATATTGTTAGTTTGAAACCCGTGGCCTTAATCCACCCTTGGTTACGCACAAAATAAAATTCCACACTCGCGTGACAGCTGGTAAGGATGTCACAAACTAGAAGGATGTTACGAATGGTTTTGGTTTAACGACAGTCAATTGAAAACCGCTCTAATGACAGGCTGACATCACTGAAGGTCCGACGACGACTGAAGAATTTAATCAAATGTATAGCTGTGATGAATTCCTCACCCGATGAACAAAGTTCATTTCAGACAGATATTTCATGCCTGAAGAGACACCTCGTGCCATTCCCAGCAGCTGTAGTATGGTAAGCTTGCCGTCCAATTTCTGCGAAAGAATGATTCAAAATCATATGTAACAAAAAGCTATGATACAAGGAACTATTCCGATCAACATGGCAACCTCATGGGTACCCTGTGGACCGGCAAAACGTAGCTCAGTTCAAGGATACAGTTGGAACTTCAAACGAGCGAAGTTACAGTCGAACCCTGCTATCTCTAGCCCCGGTCACACCACGCCGGAGGAATTTGAAAACGCAACAACAACCGGTCAGTGTGGATTTGTGGCTGATCAGGAAAACTGGGTCAGGGAGATCTTATTATTATCGAGATGTCATCGTTTTCCGTCCACAACGTAAAGCGGGCGTTTTCAANAAAAGCAATCCCAGGTCAATTGTAGGGACGAAATGAACTTCTTCTACACTCAAGCGATCCCTTAGCTAGAGGAAAGTAAAGGAACTACAGAGGTCACCTTTAAAGTCTTGACAGCAACAAGAATAGGCTCTTCGTCTGGCCGTGATAACGTCCCTTGGTAAACATCACCAAATTCACCTGAAGACAAAGTTTCGTTGTTAATACATGAAAAAATCGTGACAAACCTGCAATTGTTTTGTATGCTATTCGTACTTCAGCTCTTCATTGCTTTTTTAAACATTGCCACAAATCTACACTGGCTGATTACAATCAATCCCTTGAAAAAGTTATTCGAAGTGAAATCGTCTCCCCTTTGCGATAACATTGTTTCAAAGATTAACTAGATGGAGCATGCCAAATTGAGAGTAACAGTACACTCTGTATAAATCGGTAGCCAGTATATAGCGCAATTTGTTTTGTCAACTCTTATCCACTGGATAGTAATTTTTCCGATGGATTTTAAAGCCTTATCAAAGCTTCGAACAAGTGGGAACAGAAGTCTTTCTTGTACGAGAAGGAAGACAAGATACACCGATGCTTCTTCGGGCGAATTATAATATCAACATTTCTGTAGTTACTAAATGTACCTCCTCCAATGATCTTTTCTAAAGAGATCCACTTCTTCTCCAGCTCTTTGGCAAAACTTCGCAAGGCTTCCTCGGGGTCTTCATAGTTGCTAGGATCAATGTAGAGTCTGTGACCATGCGACGGTAAAATAACTACAAGAAATTAACGTGAGATTCACCAGTCAGGCAATAAATGCTTTACTACAGATTTGGATAGCGAGGAAAAAAAAAGCCAGTAAAGAGAGGCATTTGTTTACTTCCCACTAAGAAGCCAGAACAATAAAATACAACTCTACAGTAAAGTTTCGTAGCGCTGGAAATAAACCACGAATTTCCATTAAGAGCGTTAGCAACGGAATTCAAGAGAAGAGTCAGTGCTCAGTTTTCTTTGCTTCGTGTGGTTACCAATTTCCTCCCTAAGGCTAATGATAGAAAGGAACATCAAGGCTAATTTCCAGAACTACAGTGTAAAGGCTACTGGTAGTAGATACTTTACTGAAGTCTTTATTTGTTTATTTTTTTCTTTTCTCCTTCTCTTTTTCCCTTTCCTCTCTTTTTTTCTCATTTTCCTGTTTAACTTAGATGGTTGTAAAAGCCAAACTGAGAGGCTTTGAAGATACAACTGCCACAAAACTGGACATGTCTGTGTTTGCAATCTAGTTTTATGTCTACCTTGTCCATCCTTTAACTCTACCGGAGGCTGATAACCTTCCTTGTTTCTGCTCCTACAAAGAACAAATCATGGAGATATCTTCACCCAACATGTTAATTTCCTTCACGGTTTTCAAGTTGCCCCCAAAACGCAGCCGTTACCTACCTCCAGTCACGCAACGTTCCTCCCTATACAAAATTGCTACATGTATTTTTGGAGAGGAGCTAGCGTTGCGTGACCAGCCAAATATTGAATGCGTTCGAGGCTATTCGCAACGGGTTCTTTTTTCCCCTTACAATAATTTGGGTACCACCATAACTTGAACACAAGCTTAGCTAGATTGAAGAGGCAAATATTTGCAGGGGAGGACTGTAACAATACGACTAGGAAAATTTACTACAAGTACGATTTTCGAATTTCAAACCAGTGACGTCTCCAGAGCCCTCGCTCTTCGTGTTGGTTTTTAGGCAGAGAGGGTGCATGTAGCTCATCGGATGAGCGGACAAGGGTGACCATGGGTATAAGTAACGTGGTAATGCGGAGTCTTCAAACTAGAATTGAAAAGTCGTCCTCGAACTCGATTTTGTACTCGTACTCAAATCTAGTAGGTTGCCAGGCTGGTAAATTCTGCCGAGTACTTAGTAGTTCACTTACCTACAGAAGCATAGGGCGAAGAGAATGGCCAGTAAAAGAAGGACACCCACAATGGGCGCCCCGATATACAAAGCCATCTTCATCGTCTTATTCAAGCCACCTGGAGCAGAAAAAAATATATTAAAGTGGATCATGATTTAATCTACCTACTGAACTGTAATGTAAAATCCGTGCTTTTCAATAACATGCACTTGAAAAGGACAGGTGCAAAAAATAAATAAATAAATAANTACACATAGATTTCTTCTGTTCCTTTGGAAAACTCAAAGGTAACGTTAATCCTTACCCATCCTAATGTCCTTGAATCCAAGGAGGAAAAATTAAGGGCATTCAACATGATCAAATGCTGTATGACTGAAATGTACCTTTGCAATCCTCTACATCAGATGATTGGTAGAATCCCTCTTCACAAGTGCATGCTGTTCTCTCAGCATTAGAAACTGACCTCAGAGGACACTGAACACATTTTGTGTTGCTGATGGTACTCTTGAATGCTCCACTTGGACATTCTACATAATGGACGAAAAAAAATAAAGAAGGAATTTGTATACCGGTATGTAATCATACGGTTTCGAGTTCAATTTGGAATTAATTTGCATGAGTGAGCTTTTTGAAAAACTCACAAGTGCAAATTAATTCCAAATTGAACGAGAAAAACCGTATGATTACTTATTAATAATATAAACATGTGATACCATTGGCTTAGAAAATTTCCTTTTGTCTCTCAGCCAAACATAACTCAGAATTACAACATGTAATTTGCACTGGTGTTACACTTTTTGCAGTGGTGTTACACTTGAACTGCTCTGGTCTCAGCCAATCAGAATTGAGTAATTTTTTTCATGTATATTGTTAAGAAAGAAACCCATGGAAAATTAATTAAAATTTAATACAAGGCATATCTGTCTGAAAAATAAAATAAAATATTAATTAATAACAATAATGGGGATAGCCTGTGTGGCAGGCCATACAAGGGGAGGAAAGGGTCAAAATGAGCCCAGGAGGATCAAGCACACTTCAAGAGGGATGGCCTGCAAGGACACTATTGTTGCCTTCTTTTTCTACATCCACCAGATGGACGTAAAAATCCTGATTGGTCAGATTTAAATGAATTACTTAATCCATCGTTCTGATTGGTCAGCCACCTGTCATTCTAGAGCACAGGGGCCTCACATTCAGATTCAACATG